TATATATATATATATATATATATATATATATATATATATAAATATAGTACCTATTATACATGGGTAGCTGTTATTCATTAAATTAATTAGTTTTTTTATTAGCTCTTAACTGATTTTAAGAAAATCATATGAAAGATGTCTATGTTATATTTATTTCCTTATTATAGAGAAATGTATTTTTTTCCAGGAACACAAAATAGAATTTTTACGAGTGGAAGATGTTGGAGAGTCTGGCAATAGTAGTTACATATACAAACTGAATAAGTGTATTCCTAGCTAAGCTCTACCAAGGAGAGATGATACAGCCACTATTGATGTCTACTCATTTTTACAACAAATTTATCATTTATTTAATTCAGTTCTTTGGTAGAGCTATGTTTTAGGTTTGTGGTTTTTTCCAAAATATTCAGAAAACACCATAACTTTTACAAGACAGATTAGATTCTAGATGTTATATGTTATAAATCACTCAGTGTATCAGATAACACTATATTTTAAAGGCTTAACATTGTGATAATTTTATTCCTAATAAAATAACCAAACTACAAATAAATCAATACTTACAACTACAGGACAAAGCACCAAGTTTACCTTTTAATTTAAAAACACATCTGGAATGTTGAAACCCATTATAAGATGAAAGCCTTAAGAAAGAAAGTGTAATGAAGTTTTAATGTTTTTTGTGTACAGTACATTAAATCAACTCTGTTAGAAAAATTTGTTATTTCCATTTTATTTTACACAGCATTTTTCAATACAAGTTTACACAAAATTGTACCAGTCTGTATTCTTTTTGGAAACAAAATTAACATATCCTAAACTTTAAGATTTAGGTATTCTAATTATCATCTTTTCTCATGTTTTGTTTTTTTATAGTTTTTTTTTCAGTTGAGAAAAACTACATAATTTAAAACATTAACTGTAGTTATCAAAACAGGATGACAGTCATAGGAAAGTACTATAGCATGATAAGAACAGGATAAAGAAGAGATAAATATAAAAATGATTAATAGATATTAAAAAATGAGTTTTATTCATATGCATGTACATGATACAATAAGTAAAAGGTATTAAGTCAGCAGCTGAAGGCTATTAAAATTATTTTTTTTCTAAACATTTTAAACCTCACCTAAGCTTATCATTTATGTACATACAATAAATATAGTGAAGTAGTAGAACCAGTGCCACTATTTTTGATGGGAAAATTAAAATTGGAAATTATCTAGTCTAAGAATTCATTTAAAGAATGGCATGGTATGTGATACATTAGCAGTTAAAGTTAAAATATATTTATTTTGTGACTGTACAAACAGAGAAATATTAGTGAAGCATTATTCATTTCTAGTTCAATAATAAATAAAACTAACACATTCTGTGCACAATTTTAGACCAAACTCATGACCTTTTGCAGCATCCTTTGCTAATCTAATCAAAAGATTGAGAAAATGGAATCAGGTGTACACTTCATCATTGTTGATCTTCAGCTTATGTCCACCATTACACTTATGAAATTTACATCATTATACTCTATTTTTCAAATGGCAATGTATAAACAAACAATGAAATATCTACTGTCAATAAAAGAAGCTTGTTGTGTCATTTTACTTCTCCACAAGTATGTTTTATTGTTTTGCTAATTTGTCATAATTAGTAATGTGATTTGGAATATGAAATTCTGTATTTTACTAGTAAAACTTGGTATATGCATCATTCATTTAACTAAAAAAAAAAAAAAAAACTTGTATATTTACCTGTTTTGCTAGTGTTTCTGTTACATGCTCTTTGAAGAATGGCACTGAGACTCCATTGTTCTGGACTTGTGAAGTACCTGCCACAGAGTTAGCTCGCTGGAGTGTGATTGTTGTAGGTCGTTGAAGATTCATTGCTGTTTAAGCAGAGAAAGAAAAGTGTATTGAAGAATGTAAGAAAGATTACGATGACAGAAACCCATTTGATTCATTAAAGCCATTCCTTCATCCAACTAAAGCATTAAAGCAAAAAATAAAGGTATTTTTTACACTTACATAACTACTCAAGAAACATTTAAAAATTATAAACCAAAAACACTGATATAAATATGTATAAAGATTAAGTTTGTTTTAATGCTTTGATGGGTGAAGAGATTCTACAAAGGGCCAGTTAGCATTCTGTCACTTTGATTTAAGTTCTGTTGCAATATAAAAATCATTAAAGTGAAATTCCATTTGAAATTGAACTTTTCCTTCATTCAATTTAACAGTTCTTTTGTGTCAGCTGTTTCCAACAACATTTATACAAAAAAAAATGAAGATATTTTGGGATTTATTTTCTCCTTGTCAGGTGTTTTTAGGATTAGCAAATTATATATAATTTTAAAAAATTGGATACATCATTTAAGTATTCACTATACATTGTCTTATACATTTCTGTCCACTTCAAAGATCAGATGTGTTAGTGTTTGTTTCATTATTCATTTAATATTGTTTATGGCAGGTACATCAAGACATTTTTAAAACCTTTCATGTACAACTGAAGCTATATTTTTTTATAACCTATGCATTATATTGTGGAAGAATTAATATAAATACTAACTACATATCTTAATCATCATAGATTACTATGTAAAGATATTCACTAAATATCAGTTACACTATACTCTAAAATAAATTATAATTTTTGGCAATGATAAACCCTTACTATGTCACAGTCTTTTCTACGTTTAGAAAAACATTGTTAGGTCTCAAAATTTTATTTGCTAAGATGCAACAAACTTATCACCAATCACTATAACCAAACTTCAGAAATGCATTTAATGGGAAGGCTACTTACACCATAATATATACACAGTAAATGTAATGCTAAAAATAAGCTTAAAATTCTAGTAAAGTATTTTATAAAACACTAAGAAATTACATTTACCTAAAAATACATATAACAATGAACTTCAAAGTATATGCATAAAACCATAGTACAAAACTACACTGACTAGCAAACTTTGATACATTATCACATGCTATAGTACATTTGATACAAGCCATATTTTCTATTCTCTAACTAGCTTCTAAGTTACCTTTTCAACTGGAAAGAGGTAAAAGCACCAATATACACTTTTTCATTTAACATTTTATTTGATTAAGATAAAAAAATTGTTAGGTAATTGAGGTGAAAATAAAATAGACCAAATTATACTTCATAGACAACAAGATGTGTGTGTGTGTGTGAATTGAAAACTAATACAAATGATTAAAACTAACCCTTTTCATAATAAAAGGATAATTTTTAACAAAAATCATTAAGTATCACTAAAGATGGTCAGAAGAATATAATGTGTACCAAAACAAGCTTGTGCAATGTTAGTATTTAATAGTTACATTGAACTGGCAGATAAGAAATGATAATTTAATTTCCTTTTCTTGAAGTAATAATATTTTATACATTACAACAGAATTAATGAAATAGCTGCCTTTTATTAAAAAATAAAACTTGTATATCAATTCATCACAATTTAAGGAGATAAAAATAATCTTCCCTTTAAAAGATCATTAAGCATTTTCTTTGTTAATCAAGACTGATATCAATTCAACAAAGTTGCATTCAAAAAATAAGTTAATCTCACAGACATGTATGTAAATGGAATTATTTAATAAAATACATTTCATAGAAGGGTATACAAATAATTACTTTAAAGACTGATTTAACATATTTTATGAATAAATTTCACATTTGACAAATGTCAAAAATGAATTAGTTAACAGAGTATCAAACTCAACTACTTGTAACATTTTCCCAATGTCACTGGGTATAGATGTGAAAGCACCACCTTAAACCATTGAGAAAAACTAATGTTTAAATATCTTGAAAATAAACCTTTCTACACCTAAAATCCAAATTATGAGAGACTAAGACTTTGGACCACAAATAAATATCCTATTGTTTACATCACATAGCAACATAATTTACTAATGTTTTTATCTACACTTTATATGAGCTCAACCACTTCAGGCTTTAACAACACAAATAGTTTTAAATGTTGTAAGCTTGTAAAACAGCAATGTATTAAACCGGACCTTTGATCTGAATCTACCTTGCATGAAAATGTAAATTGCAGAGCTCAAGTTAACATTTATGATACAAAAATACCTTATCTTGATCTGTTAAGATAAACAGATCAACATTAAGCACAAATCAGATATTTGATATTTCAAAAAAATAATATTCTTGATAAGCAAGATCAAGCGTACTACTGTGATAAAATTTATTCTTCATACATGCACTTCAACTAAAATTCTCAGCTGTAAAAATAGATAAAACTGTGAGGTGAAGCTTTGCATTCAGTTATAAGAATATTATCGTTTTCAAAAGCTAAGCTCAGGTAACCTCTGGTGTAAGGAATTTCCCCCCAAATTGAAAATAAAGATAAAATCATGATAAAATCTAAATAAATGTTGTTTGATTCCTACAACAGAGGTTTTATGACAAACTAGAACAGCAAGAACACAGAGAGGATAACTCCTACCCTCCAGTGTGTTTTTAGTGTTTCAATGTCTAAGTAAAATATACACCAAACAATTCCTCATTCTCACAAATACAGGCCTAAATGTTAAAATCCTCTTTCCTTCTCAGCTTGTTCTTGAGATTTGAAAGTTTTTTAAAACCCCCATTTGCTTCTATTTAGTGTAACAACGTGGTTGACCATCAATGTACGTTTACCAACGTTAAGCATCTGGCCTTTTGGGAACACTCAATCTTTTTAGCAAATATGATAAAAATAATACGAAAACTTAGTTATCTTGAACACACAGCATGGTGAAAAGAATACCCCTACACAACAGCTGAGCAAGGATAATTAAAGAAGACTTTAAGATGAATATGTCTTGTGCTTCTTTGACTAATACATTGAACGTTTTACATCTGTTACCCACTTCCATTACATTTACATCTCTATGGTTATAAATTAGCACATGACAATATACTTGTACTTTCAACACGACTTTAAAAAATACTTATTTCTGTAGTGAAAGTACTGATCACCAAACCAAGACCCAATTTAGACCGGAACCATTAAAATTTATTAGCATTAAAAACATGGGTTTCACTGATTTACAGAAACATGGAGGCAATATACAGCTGCATGTATTAGCATAAATTATCAAACAAATCAATTAATCTTGCTATTAGAGCACAGTGAACACTGAAGCAATTATTTTTGTTTTTCATGTAAGTACTATATAAAAAAAAATCTTCAAAAACAACCAAATAAGGTGACATAAAAATACCAATTTAAATTAGCATTTATTAACTTCATATTTTAAAGTAGAACTCATGCTAGCCAATCTAAGCAATTCAACAATTGTCTCTAAAATTCACACCACCATTATCAAACCCATTAATATAGAAATTAAAAACTTTCCACAATAACCTATACCAGCCCATAAAAATATCAACCATCTAAGCAAGTAGTATTCCAAGTCTCAACTCTACTTATTTTCTTTATAAACTACATACATCTACTTTGTAGCCCTTTTCTGTACATTTTTTAAAAGCTAGGTATTCTTGCAGTAATAAGAAACCAAACATGAAAACCGTAATTCAAATGAAGTGCAACACATCTTATTAAAAGGGATAAAAAAGTTTACCTCTTTAAAACTCCAAATTTCTATCAGTATCCCAGATACCATGTCTGAATACTGAATGTTACTGGTTTAAAACTAGTCATTGGTAATTAATATAGCTTACAAATATAAAAAGTTAAATTATAGTATTTCAGTTATACTTACTAATCTTTTAACTTGTAAAAGAATAAAATGATTCAACAGTGGTGATAAAAATACAAGAAATGAGGTGGCAGAGGGGCAGTCAGCCCACTAAGATCACCCGTCATAGATCAAAATAAACAACTAAATCAAAGCCAAATCAGTCTGTGCATCCATACATCTACTCAACTAAGTTTAGATATAACAAGAATAGCATATCAAGTAAAACATTCTAAAATTTTATAACTCTTATCACAGACACACACACACACACACATTTCTTCAACTAGGCTTCTAACATTTATACACATGTACCTTAATATGAAAAATCACATTTCCAACCTCTTAATACCATAAATGCTCACACCATTAACAATTTTGAATACCCAAGGAAAGTTCTACTCTTCCCCCAAGTCAAACTTTATTCTTCTTTGCACAGTTCAGATTATTTCAAAGCGTAATTTCATCTACATGCCCATTTAAGCACTCTTTCGAACATATTGATATTCTTCCAGTAGCAAAGGTACCTGAACTGCAACAGTACTCAAAACAAAACTTCACTAATCTGCTATAAGATTACAATAACATTTGGGAAGAACATATATTACATAATGATGCTGTTTACTGCACACAGTTTTGATTCTCATTTTAAAATGTTGACTTATTGGAAAGGATCCAGAGGAAAGCTACTAGGATGATTCTGGGGATGGAAGGGTTATCACATAGGAATAAGTTAAGATCTCTAAACTTATTTTCTCTTGAAAAAAGAAGGGTAGGAGGTAATTTTATTGAAATTTTAAAAGATTATACAGTGAATTGATAGGATGAAAACTTCTGGTTACTTTTTGCTATATTTTGAAAGCAATAGGATAAGTTTACAAGTTTAAAATTTGGAAAAGACAAGCTAGGCCCCATTGAAGGTTTTTCTAACAGTGACTGGCTTACAAAACGAGTTTCCATTGGCAGTAGTGAATGCTACAGGACCTTGCAATGGACAATAAATTATTTCCCGAGAAATAAAGAGTGGGTTTAAGATTTTACTTTTCCTCGAAGGATGATGAGTGTGAAGGGACAGCTTTGATGGACTAAATGGTTCCTTGTTGTCTGTAGGTTCTCTTGATTAATCTTTGCTAAAATTATTTGAACTTTTAAGATACATCCTATCAGGAAGATAGTCACTTTATTCTCAAGCTGATGTTGTTTACCTTTTTACTAAAATTGTCATCAACATAAACTTAAATAGAAACGTACCTTCCTCCCACGCAAATTTAGAAATATTCTCTTCTCACTTAACAGCAAAAATGGCATAATACAACTTTTAGCACTTTACTCATGCTCTCCTCCATAATTATAATAACAATTTTTCCTTTAAAATCTTTTAAGATTGATTTTTATGCTTGTATTAAGTAGAAAAAATTTCTAGTTACCTTTGACATTTTTTAACCTAGAAATTTTAATAATCCCTCTGGACTTTTCTCAGTAATGTAATTACCCTATTTATCCATGTAAGGCTTTTGAATACTAAATTCCGAAATTAATATATTCCCTTTCAGCTAACTTGTTAAAAACTATTTTAATGAAAATGTCTCAAGTTTCATAATAGCCAAATGTTTATTTCTCAAAACATTTCTAACATTCCGGATGTTGCTTATTCTGAAATCAAGGACACAACATCAAAGATACCAACAGAAATTCTAGTACTTAAATTCTTGTATATTTTCTTTTTCACTCATACTTTCCTCAGCATTTAGAACACTAAAAAAACATTTTCCATAATAAGATCTTTCACAAACTGTGTTACAAACAATAATACAACCCAATAGCTCAAATAATTGCTTTTAACATTTTTCTAGTGCATAATATATTTTGAAAAAATAAGTCCTTCTCCACAAAATAGGCTTTTCAATTAAAAGTTTATATTCTACAGTACATTATTTTAGCACCACAGTGAATGGGTAACATACCATTTAATACTGACTCTCGTAAGAATCATTTTTACTGATGTAAAGTGGTTGTTTCTATTTTTACATTTCACCCGCATGTCACTTGTTAGATTTTTTCTATTAATTATGAGTTTCAGAATTAATTCATTCTTCTCATGGGTTACATTCATGCACTTTACTGACAAGTGTAACAAAAACAATTTTAACATTTCCTCAAACTCTTGCCTACTGAATGCTCAATGTTTAAAAACTGATTTAATATACATTTTCTATAGTTAAATATGATACTTTTGTATGAGTTATATTAATATCTCTAAAAAACATCCTTAAATGAATAAAATGTCTCATTATAAACTACTACATATAAATAAGTATTGTAAATGACTATATTTGCATAACATAGACTAAAAAAAATGACAAAAAACTGCTCACTCATATATGCAACATTTTTTCCATAATTTTACTCACTAAAAACAGAGAATTCAGCATTCATGTTTCAGTTCATATCTAACATACAATTCTCTTTTTGTAAATTAGCAACTCAGGACTGATTAAATAAAAAAATTATCCAATGTATCTCACTTAACACTTTGAAATCCTTACTTTTTCCAGCAGGTTAAACTTACCTAGAAATTTGCTTGAAAGCTTACAATTTTTTCAATGTACCAGTTTTACATGTCTTGTAAAGTAATATAACAATACTTTAAATGGACTCAAACAAGCTGCTTACAAAACCATTATTCTACAATATAAAGTGTCAACAAAGAAATCTGCAACTCACCATTTAATGGTCACAATGAATGCTGGTGTAAACAAAACTTACAAAGTACATCCTGGTTTAACTTTAATTTATATAAACATGATAAGCAAAAAGTGTATGCAAGAATGAAGCACACATAATTATATGAAAAAACAAAACATCAAAGTCATGTAAACCATATTTTCTCAAGTAAGATTAAATGAAGTGAAGGCACTAACAAAGTTATATTGTAATTTTGCTAGAACTTTACTTGAGGGTTTAAAAAATTGTCAAGGAACCAACTTTTAGTTTTAGTTTCATTGCCGAGGTGAAACATTTTAATACTAATAGTAATAGGCATTTTAACTACTTGATCATCAAACACTTAATACTTAGTAATACTTCTACTGAAACAGACTACAACAAACGATAACCTAAATTCATTCAGTTAACTGTGTGAACAGTGTACTTAACAAGTACTTGAAGTAGTTGCAGTACCATACATGTGATTGATGTATTCATATTATAATTTATATATATATATTTATAAGTGTATCACGATTCATACTATCAATCACTGTATGACTATTATGTTCAAAGTTCCAGTCTATGACTATGACAGAACGAGTTTTGGTTTTATACTTGTAATTTATAGACTGATGATACTGATAGTCATACACTGATGCTGTGATACTGATACAGCGATAAACCATGTGAATCGTGATGATATACTTATATACTCAACTTATAGTTATACTAGGTTATAAGTTATAATTTATAGGCTCCAAAAACGTAACGAATGACGTTTCTTACTCAAGTTATTATCTAATTTAATTGCTGCCTACCATTTTTCAGTAGGAATGTTCACAAATATGCTCTACTACTCTACTGATTTGGCAAGCATATCAACCCAACGAAGCCTAAAAATAGTTAAAACATGATCGTTCCACCATGCCTCAAACAGCTTGCCCCATTCGAGCTTGGCGGTGGTTGCAGGTTCTCTTTCTTAATTGGGTAATAAAAGATCACATGGACAAAAACCATTACTTTGGCGCATGCTCTGTTTGCTCTCATGAACAGTCCAAGTGGAAATGTAAGATCAAAAACAATGATAATAAAAACACATCAATTAAAATATGAAACTGATGAGATGATTTCTATCTCCTACGTAACAAAAATTACCTTTTAATCCTATTAGCAGACTCACTTAATAGATTACAAACACCTCCCTTTTGTCTTCCAGCCTAGGACTTATGGCGTTCTTATCGAAGTAAAGTTTTTTTCTGAGGTATTTAACGCGCATGAGCACATGACAAATTATATCAGGAAAGGCAAACTCGTTTTTATAGGTATGATAAAAGTAAACAGAACAATAATTAAGTACATAAATTAATATGATTGTTTTCAGAAGTAAATTAAAGAACACTAGAGTTATAGGTTCTCTAAAAGTCACCACATCCACTAAGTGTTCAAAATACAACTAGAAATAAAAAAGAAAACAAAACGAAGACAACATAAGTACTCCCAAAAACAACATTCTCAGCAAAGCTAAACGAAGGTTCCAAAGAGAGTGAAAAAGTGTTTGTTCAATTGTTGACAGAAACAAATGCAAGAGAATAAATTAAAATTCGTTAAAAACTATATCACTGAACTATTCAAAAACAAAATACTGTGGAGTAATTTGGAGTTAAATTGTGTTGTTCTGATCGCAATATTGATATAACGAAACTTGTCTATTTAAAATACCTTTATTTATTACGAAAATTATAATTTATTTTTGTGTGATCTATTTCCAAGTTATTTGTAGAAATTAAACTATTTCATATGCGAAGAATTTACCAAAATTATTTTCCAATGAGAAATATACAGTGTTATAAGTATAGATTGATACTGTAAGTAAGTTGTTAAAAGATAATAATAATAAAATGATTTATATAGATGAATCGAGTAATCTTTAGAAAATTACATGATTTTATTGATATTCATATTTCCAAAATTAAAATAGTTTGAATTTTAGCGCGACCTTTTAGAAACCCATAAAATCAACACTGTCTGCATTTTCAACTAATAATAATTTACTTGTTATCGGAGTTAAATTGGGGTAGAACGGCCTTCTACCACATGAGAATTCAAACTACTAACGTTCCTTAGCTTTTGTTTAAAATGTACTAGACAGCCTCATTTAATATGATCTCAGGGAGTGTATATGCTTTCTGTTGTACCACACTGCTACTATTATGTACATCACAAAAGGGAGTTCCACATCTTTCAAAATTTCAATTTAATAGCTGCTTTTTACTGTGGATATTATAAAAAGTATATATTAAGATATGTAACCTCGATTGTAGTAATTACAACATTTTCTTTTAACTAGATTATTTGGGTAAGATAAGCGCTGCTACTGTTTCTCACATATGTGAAGTTTTAATGAGGTGACTCTTCCTTATATTTCTAAATATATTGTTACGTCTCCGTTTGTTAATTAACTTTCCGTAACTTAGTTCCGACGAAACCTTAGCGACACAAGTCCTTACTTAATAAAACTGGTTTATTCTTTCTGAATACAACTTTATGATACACTTATTTTCAACAGTCGCGCTATAACAAACTATAATAACGACGTTAACTTCAACAATACGTCTCTCTCTGACTGCAGTTCAATTACTCATTACCTACACACACATTATCCTGTCACGTTGTCACCCTCTTTTATATACCAGACTACCCTATATCTAGTAAATGCTAGAGCATTCGCCAAGGTACAGGATAGTTCTAGAAAGCAGAGGGCGTGAGAATAGTCACGTAATCTCGCTGACGCAACAATATCAATGCAGCAAATCCTTTAATAAAATAATATAATCTAAAAGTCAAAAACTTATAATGGTTACTAGTTAACACAAAATACCATGTTACCCCAAAGCTCAAGTGTTTTCGAAAGGTCTCTATCTGATGAAAATGCTCAATCTTTTGTGTTCTTTTTTTTTTTCTTTTTTTTCTTAAAGCCTTGTAGTGGTCCACAATGCTATTCCAAACGGCTATAAATACTGGTATTGACAAAATATTTTATACACTTTGTGAGGAAGTAGGGAACTATAATGTTTTATCCTTAGCACGCCAACTTGTGGCGTTAATCACAGCCCAGGCTTTATTACTAACATATGTCATCAACCATACATCTGGTTGAATGGACCACCAATCATCTTACAAGACAACTTTAAGTGCAGGGAGATTGTCCCTTCCATATTTCACACTTCAATACGTCTTGGCTTGGTTCATTTGGACTCAAGAGAGGTTCTGAATGTAATTTGTTTTTCAACCAACTACTGGACACAGTGTGAAGCATGGTATGATGTATAAATGTTTTAAAATTCGTATGGACTTTTCTCATAGAATCACAACAATATTCACAATTTGCTATTATTGTGCAACCAATGCTTTAACTATTCCATAACCTTAGAATAAGCATATACATAAAACAAAGGTCAAACCAGCATAGCTAATTTCTTGTAGAAATTTCATACCTTTTATTGCCAGATTTAACAGAAATAGCACATGATTTGCAAATATGGGACAATGATGTAGAAAAGAAACAAAAAACAATTTACAGTGGTTGAAAAATATATTGCATCGCCCAGTTTTTTTCCACTTTTCTTTGGAATCAACTGTTTTGAGGTTCTAATGCATGTAGATACAAATATGTTTCATGGATGATATTTATTATTAATACTGTCTAATTATTACATCAGCAGTTTTAACCGTCATCTGGGTATTGCATCAGTCGTTTTTCGGCTATAAATAGACGTAATTACTGAGACTCAGTTTAAAAGCCTATCTGCTACAACGTGCGTTTAAAGTTACCATGGCCAAGGATTGTGAGTTAATTCCACAGAAAAAGCAGTCATTGTTTCTTTGAGCAAAGACGGTCTTTGGACAAAGCAGATTTCTAGAATAATTAAATTTAACCAATCTACTGTGAGCTGCTGGGTGTAGAGATATAGAGAGACTGGCTGTGTGAAGTGACGGAAGGAAAGGGGCAGGAAGAAAGCTTCCACAGCAGCTGATGATCGTGTTCAAAAACGCATAAGCTTGCAGAATCGTTAACTGTCGTCCACTTATCTCAAAAGAGCATAACAGGAAACTCCAGGAGTCAGTGTCTAGTCTCTCATCAAGACAGCCAAGAAGGAAACCCCCTCCTCAACAAACAAATGAAGAAGATGAGGATCAACTGAGCCCAAAAACAGGCTGACTGGGGTGAAGCAATGTAGAGCAAAGTGATATTTTCAGATGAATAAAAATTCAACCTTCACCGGTCTGATGGAAAGCATTTTGTACACAGTTGATACTGAGAAGAGTTTCATCTAGTATGTTTGAATGCAACTGTGAAGCGTCCGCAGAGTAAGGTGATATGGGAATGCATCTCTGACCAGGTTGTGGAATACCTGCGTTTTGTGAAAGGCACTGTCAATGCCGACAAATACATCGAGATCCTCGAGTCCCTGTTAAAGCCAATAATTCGGGATCACTTCAGTAGAGCTGACCAGAGCACACTCCAGGATGACTCTGCTCCATGATACAGGGCTAAAAAAAGGTCGTAATTTTCATGCACTATATGCAGTAGGCAAGAAATAAAGAAAAAATTCCACTCTACATGTATTGAAAACCATCTTAAGTTATATTCCATTGTTTCAGGTGAAGAACTATCTTCGAAGGGAGAGAATCACGACACCATACTGGCCAGACAACAGCCCAGACTTCAATCCTATCGAAAAGTGCTGGAAGGTAATGGGCAACAAAGTGCAAGAGAAAACACTGAGAAGCATGTTGGAACTGTAGGAAGTCCTAATAATGTGGCATAATGAACTTACCTACTTACTTTCTGACCACTTTTTGTCAACTGCATTAGTGACGTTATCTTTAAATTAAGTTTCTTACTTATAGAACATTTTCGTATTTGCCAAGAATTTGTTGATCATCTGCTGTAATACGTTTGTTAATGTTGGTTTGTTCAGAAAGATGCATATATGTATTTGAATGACTGAAATATGAGTCAGCTTACACGATACAATGTCCGTAATCGTTTTATACTAGTTCTGACACTTCCACAGTGCATAATCTCTTCAAAGAAAACGGGATCCAAAGAAAGTGTGAAAAACACTGTGTGATGCAATAATTTTTTCCGCCGCTGTAACTTAGAAAATATTAATAAGAATACATAATGGCGCGACTCTATCTGCAGAGCAAAATTTTACTTGCAAACTGAAGATTATTTCCATTGTAAAAGAAAGAATGAAAGAAAAACAATACTGAAAAGATTATTTGCAAAGTTATGATACCACTATCAGAAGAATCACACGGCACTATAAATAACTATTATGCAATTGAGAAAACAACAAATCAATAAAATGTCAATGTCACTTTGAATATAAAAATGACAATTCAAACGTATTTCGTATGATACTGAGGCAATAAACTGCTAAAAATAAAACTCTACGCGTTATAGTGTAATATGTGGTACATATTTGTTCATTTTTGGGTAATTTAGGTTACCGGTCGCTTAACAGAAACTCCTAGGGATTATAATGCTAAAAAATCACGTTTCTATATTAGTTAAGCTACGTTTACTGGTTATTCAAAGAAATACTTCATTTTTGTTAGTGACTATCTGATATATCATTGGTTAATAATATTTTCATTGGTTTTACATTTTTAATTACTCCAATAATATATATTCTTGATAAATTAATTGTAATATGTAAACACTGTTACAAACTTGCATGTATTTGATTTTGTAATTTCAGAACTTGTTTCTGATATTTGCACAAAACTACGTGGTTATCTGTCCTTAACTTTGAACTGATAGACTACAACGTTCCGTCAAGGGCTTTTGTCTTTAGTCTAGTAGTTGGTATGGGATCGTATTGGTGTCCAGTAATAATGATACCTGTAAAAATTATGTCGGAAACAATATCTCCTGTTGTAACGTAAGATGGGAAATATTTTATTACGAAAAAAAATCACAAACATGCAATTTTATTGGTTTGGTTTGTTATGAATTTCGCGAAAAGCTACACGAGAGCTATCTGCGCCAGCCGTCCCTAATTTAGCAGTGTAAGACAAGAGGGAAGGCAGCTAGTCATCACAACCCACCACCAACTCTTGGGCTACTCTTTTACCGACGAATAGTGGGATTAACCGTCATACTATAACGCCCCACAGCTGAAAGGGCATGTTTGGTGGGATGGGGATTCGAAACAATTTTATTGTATTTCTGCTTTTGGGAAAATGTCTTATTTTATTGGGGCCGAACGTGGCAGTCAAGTCCAACGAGTTGACGGTGGGTGGTGTTGACTAACTGCCTTCCTTCTAGTCCATCACTTAAAAAATTAGGGACAATTATCACAGAGAGCTCTTGAATAATTTTGCGCAGAATTCAACCAAAAATTTATTTTTAGTGTGCAGTTGCTTCCAATTTAATATGATTATTACAAGTTCCATTTTCTCCTGCTGGTTTCGTTAATCATTAGCGTATAATCCAAAATGGTATCAAGGTACTAGTTTTCTATCTGTAGACTTTCTCTAGTCTTTTTAGCAAGACGCCTAGCAACATCATTTGAGATTTAATTTGGAATGGAGGTCCAGAAATCACTATGTTCTTATAAGCTTTTCGACTTTTCTGAAGAGAAATTATAGTAATTTGTGGCCTGATTCTAGACTGTATTGTAGCTCTATAGCACACACAGTAAAAAACGTTAGAATTGATTGTCAGATTCTTCCACCTTCTTAGCGTTCATGATTATGCAGAAGCGTTCTCAGGAGCAATGTAAATTTTTTTTGCCTCCTTCGAACGTTTTCCTGAAACTTCTGACTACATAACTTTAGGTTTGTCTTGTTGTTTTGCATAGTAGTACTGATATTCTTAAATGAAAAAATCTGTCTATTGTACAATTACATATCTTGAATAAAATTTTCTCAAGCTACACTATTAATCCATATCTATTGCCTATGCATCATCTTACACAGATACTTCAAATTATAAATTAGAATTTCCAATTTTTCTTTGGTGAAATCTTAACATCATTTTTAGCTTACACCAGTACATTCTCTGTGAAGACATTTCTATTGTCAAAGAAATGAAATTTGACTTCAAAAGCTGGATATTATCTTGGTATATTTTAGAAACTTCATGTTGAGTTTTTGTCTGAGAACTCCTCCCACAGCTTTGGAGCTAGTAAGACCAAAGTTAGCAGGTGGACTTGTGGGTGTCCTTATCTATATGCTTTAGCCCTTCTACCAAATGGGGCTAAAACAAGCCTGTAAGGTCATCCAGGCATGATTTGGAGGGAAGAGGAATAGTAGGTTTTCATGGTTGCTGAACCGAATATCTGGTATTGGATTTTATGCTTATTGCCCTCCTTTGAATACCTGTGACACTATGTTTAAAGTCTAGGTATCAGAGATGGGTGTCCTACCAGGGTTTGTTTTCAGATATAGAACCCCCTGGATTAATTATAGATGCAACTGGGGATAACCAAGGAGCCTAATTGGTATACTGGGGCCTCTGTGAGTCATGAGGGTGCCCTTGAACCCCAAAGCAGAGCATGAATATTTTATGCTAGTATTTATAACAACAATCAAAGCAAGTACAAATTGGATCTCCTTCTAGCACATATAACTTTTAACTTGGCCATTGCTAGATTTTTTAGTGAAATTTACAAAATCTACAAAAAAGAATATGTATAGACAAGTGGAAACGATAACCTGTCTTCAATTACTCCAAATGTACTTAATAAACTGAAAGGTTTATTTGTTAACGAAATCCATACATCCCACTAAAATATTCACAACTGCAAAAATATCTCTTCTGACTGCCAAGAAGTAAACTATGTAAAGATTTGGGTCTAGAAACTTTGTTTCACAAACACATTCTATGTTACGTTGTTCAAAGATAAACCAATACCTAAAAGTTGTATAAACCACACTTTGCAGGTAACAGGTGTATGCTTGTAGTGATATTATCTCCAGTTTAGTCTTTCTCGAATTCCTCACAAGATAAGTTAGTACACGCTAAGAAATATTTCAATATGAAATCAAGAACATTGCAAGTTTCTGTTACATTGGAAATGTTATGATGGACAATAATAATAAAAAAAAATTCTGCCTATTACTAAATTAACCTCTTGAAACTTCTTTTCAAAAAGTATCTCTCAGCATAATGTCTGTGTATTTAACAAGACATAATATCTTGTGATACCATAAAGTTGACAATAACACATGAATAAAAAAAAACATACAAGGAATGTAAACTAAATGTATTTGCCTAAACATATTCAATGGGATCACCTATAATAAACAGAGTAAATAAATTGAGTATATCCTTAAACACCAAGGGCTGTGGTTTCATGATTTTTTGCCCAAGAAAAACATCATTGAGGGCTGTAGTTAAAACACATAGAAATTTTTTCTTTTAACCATCTCGTATATCAGTCAGATGTACTCCCATAGGGTCCCCGAAAGTGATCATTTTCTAGAGTAAACAAAACCAAAATTAAGAGTAACAAATATTTTTATTTCTTGCTTTTGAAGTTCATGTATTGTGCTGTGTTGTAGCCTATAGAGTGCATAATTCTTCTCATGATTCATGGCATACACTCTTTTTACTGACATCACAACAGTATAAATTGCAACGTTAAACATCCCTTCTGTGAAGTCATTTTAGTGTCTACTGACTGACTGACAGACAACACACTACTGCATAGTGGCGAGTGGTTAAAACAGGTGATCCCTCCAGGCAGCTTTCAGCCCCCTTTCAGGAAAACAAATTTTAAAGATTTTTTTAAAAAAAAGGTGAAGAAATTCAAAATCATATAAAGATTAGTGTGATTTAGTGAAAATCAGGGCATATTTTATAGAAAGTCTTTAGAAAGATCTTGAATAGAACATTTTTTCTAGTGCTATGATTTTAATTTTTTATATCCTTGCTGCTCATTTATTTTGATATTTTTTTCCAAATTCATTTCATCTAGCCTGATCTTTATGTAGCAATATAATACCTGAAAATGGTCTTGCTGTATTAGTAACCACCCACCAACAATTTTCATAGAACTTTCATCACATTGTATTAAATGTCATCTAACAGCATAGGAATACAAATAGTCTATAACTCACTACTGTTTTGTTTCTGAGAATGGATGACAATATTTTAAAATCTATCATTATTTTAAATTAATTTCAGTATCCCACTTTCTTAAAAAATTTTTACTATTAAGCCTTGTCTGCCTTAACAAAAAACAATTATAAATTGACCATAACTGGATTTCATACACGTTTCAAAAATAATAATACTTGTGGAATTAAAGTCATCTGAAATGTGTACAGAAAATAAAATA